CTGAGCAGCTAGCGCGAAGGTGTCTCAAAGTGGTCTCAAGTGTCTCGAACGTGTCTCAAACTCGAATCGTCGATCGAATCTAAATCATGTGCATATCACACACAGGCCGCAAAGACACAGGGAAGACCCCAAAGACGGCGACAGGTGAAGGACCTCAAGGAGCCTACTTTATTCCAAACAGCTCTAAATAGAATGGGTTTAGGTTTATTGTTGGCAAATCAAGACACAGAGCTCCCACAGAATCACAGCGGGAGGAAAGCGGCGAGTCGCAATTCCTGGGGTCCTTGTGGCGGGCCCCCCTGTCCAGAGAGGCATGGATGCCAATCTGGGGTCTCTCGACCGAGTCTATGAGTCCTGGCCAATAGAATGGGTAGTATTTGTATTCAGCGGGGCACGCGCGCGGAACGCGCATGCTCGGGCCGTGTATATAGAATTTGGGCAGCCCCCCCCCCCCCCCTATCTTGTATCCAGAAAGAAAGAAAGAAAACGGGCACGCCAAAGGGAGGGATGGGAGGATATCTTGTATCCAGGGCTTCCGAGGTGAACCTCGAAGAATGTTTCTCTTTATCTTGCGCAAGGCCACCGACCGAGGCGGTCGCTGCCTCCGTCGAGCCCGCGGTCGCCACCGAGGCGCCGGAGCCGCCCGCCGAGCCCCACAACGAGTCGGAAATGGAGGTCGAGCCGGGCTAAGCTCAGAAAGAAATCAGAAAATAAACGATAGGGGAGGAGGACAGGTTGAAACGATGAGCGGCCGCGTTGCTCGTGCGAGGGAGTTTTGTTGTAAGATTCTCTTGCTCGGTGCTTTTCTTTTCTGTCGGCGGACAGCCGGCAGCAAGAGAAACCGCAGTGAGCGGACCGCCACTGCTGTACAAGACTCTAAAAGTCCGTCGGCCTAAAAGACGCCGCGGACAAAGGAATTTCAGCGGACGCCGAAATTCCACACATGACTGTGAACACATCCACAGTCTACTAAGAGCATAGCCGTCTACTTAGAAGCACCAGGTAGGTAGGTAGGTAGGCACCAAAAGGGCAAGGCATACCGGTGTGAACAAGTCTCCACCGACGTTTTCGCTCTCTCTTCTTCGGCCCTGCGGGCTTCGATGCAGGCGCTGCTGCTATCCGTCGCGGCCTTCAGCCCTTCTCCGCTGCCGCTCCGCTCCGCCTCCAGCGGCTGCGGCGGCCGCGCTGCGCTGCGTCGCGCGGCGCCGCGGATGCCGATTGGCGTGCCAAAGGTGGCGTATCGCGTGCCTGGCGCTTCGCGTGCGGACTGGGTGGACATCTACAACCGGCTGAACCGCGAGCGCATCATCTTCCTCGGGCAGGAGATTGACGACGAGATCGTCAACCAGATCGTCGCCGTGATGCTCTTTGGCGACTCGGAGGAGCCGGGCAAGCCAATGTACCTGTACGTCAACTCGCCGGGCGGCTCCGTCATCTCGGGGCTGACGCTGTACGACACGATGCAGCTGATCCAGTCGGAGGTCGTCACCTGCAACATCGGCCTCGCCGCCTCGATGGGCTCCTTCATCCTCGGCGCCGGCGCGCCCGGGAAGCGGCTCGCGCTGCCGCACTCTCGTGTGATGATCCACCAGCCGATGGGCGGCGCGAGAGGGCAGGCGCGGCGCGCCGCCCTGGGACCCGCGCGCGCACGCCACACGCACCGCGCCCGCGCGGGGTGGGCGGGGGGGGAGAGAGAGAGAGGGAGGAAGAGGGAGAGGGCGCTGCTGTACCAGGGGGGCGGTGTTGCTGCACGGCGCGGGTGTGAGGCGGGAGAGGCATAGGCCGGCAGGGGCAGCTCTTGGGGCAGCTCTTGGGGCCGGCCGTCAGAAGAGAGGCGTCACAGGGCCAGCGCCCGTCCTCTCCCTGCCCGGCGGGGGCGAGCCTAGCGCCAGTGCCTCCCACCGCGAGACCTCGGGAGAGGCATGCCGCGCTCTGTGGCGGGAGACATCTCCTCCTGTCCTCCTCGCCTCCTCTCCCGCCGCCTCGCCGGGCCCCCCATCTCCTCCCCTCGCCTCCCTCCCTCACCGCCTCCCTCCCTCACCGCCTCCCTCCCTCACCGCCTCCCTCCCTCACCGCCTCCCTCACCGCCTCCCTCCCTCACCGCCTCCCTCCCTCACCGCCTCCCTCCCTCACCGCCTCCCTCCCTCACCGCCTCCCTCCCTCACCGCCTCCCTCCCTCACCGCCTCCCTCCCTCACCGCCTCCCTCCCTCACCGCCTCCCTCCCTCACCTCCCCCCTCCCTCACCGCCTCCCTCCCTCACCGCCTCCCTCCCTCACCGCCTCCCTCCCTCACCGCCTCCCTCCCTCACCGCCTCCCTCCCTCACCGCCTCCCTCCCTCACCGCCTCCCTCCCTCACCGCCTCCCTCCCTCACCGCCTCCCTCCCTCACCGCCTCCCTGCCTCTGCCCGCCAGGCGGAGGACATCCGCATCGAGGCCGAGCAGATTCTCAAGATTAAGCGGCAGCTCGTCGGGTGCCCCTCCTGCCACCCCCTCCACCCCCTCCACCACCCCTCCACCTCCCGCCCCTCCTGCCACCCCTCCCCCTCCTCCTCCACCCCTCCCACCTCCCGCCCCTCCTGCCACCCCTCCCCCT